TGCTGCCCCGAGGCTCATTTACCTGATGTATGTACTTCCCATCCTGCTCACTCTGCATCTCGTGGCATCTCCTTGGACTCTGCCCTTTTTCTCCCCAGCATTCTTTCTGCCCCCAAAGTCTTACCTAACCATCGGCCAATAAGCTTTTTACTAACAATGAGAGCAACACATCTTCACAGTGTACAAAAGGATTAGTCTACAGAAGCAATTGGTGTTATTTATTGGACTGATCCTTTGCTGCTTCTTTGCCCATTCTCTCAACAAGGCTGCCTCTTGCTACTGAACCACCATTGTTTTGAAAAGTCTCTGAGACCTTTTAGACGTTCCAGGATATTAGGGTGAACTGCCTTGGAGCACTGGCTGAAGCATCCACCATCCATGCTTCTGTTATAGGCCTAGGTATATTTGCTGCATAGCATACAGGATGCCATAAACATCTCCACCCATGACTAAAGAGGAGATAGGGGGAGTGAGAGCATCACAGAGGTAATACAGTCTCATTCTAAATAGCCTTGAATATAAACAAAAACACTGTAAGGAGGGGAGAGGGGAGAGAGAGAGAGAGAGAGAGAGAGAGAGAGAGAGAGAGAGAGAGAGAGAGATGGGGGTTAGGTGTGAGTGTGTAGAGGCCAGAGGTTGATACATACCTTAGTTTTGAGACAAAATCCCCCACTGAACCAGGAGCTCACCATTTCAAGTAGACTTGCTGGTCAGTGAGGTCTTGTGATTACTGCTCTGGTTATGGATCACAGGATCACCCTATCCTCCATCCCCATTCCAAGGAGGCTCTTACCATTCAGACTTCCAGGGTTAAGAATATTTGGGCCCAGCTCCCCCTTGTCCCCTAAAGGACCACTAGAAGCTGCTGCTTGGCACCTAACCCTGATTTTCTGGTGGTAGCTTATGTGGCTTCCACAGTGTCTTTTGGTAGCTTCAACCCCAGCTCCTAATGCTAGACGCCTTAGAAGCTCCAACATGGCTCAGACTAAGTATTTCTTCTTCAGGTCATTCATGGGAACAGCTCTTTCCAGCACCTGACAGTTTACCTCTGGGTCTAATGTGGTTCCACCTCCCAGGCCAAGTTCTTATTGCTTTTCTGTCTGTCCTGATCAACAGCAAGATTTTCCACACTTGGACAGTGACTGCAGTTGACATTGTACATATCTTAAGGTTACCTATGGTTATTGTAATGGTCAATATGGATTGTGAACCCTGAGATTGTATTATTTGCTGGAAAAACCTGCTTCTAATTGTGGTATGGCTCAGCCCTACCATACACCTTTAACCTAAGAGCTTTCTGCTTGAATATTGTCAACAGGATTAAATGAAGTCAACCATAGGTTAAGAGGCAGAGCAAGCAATCAATTGATAGGAAGTGAACATAATAAACCATAGAGATTAAGAAGAAGTGAGGAGTACAGATAGAGAGACACATAGGAAGTAGAGGAAGGAACATCCAGTTGGTAGAGTTTTGCTTAAGATGGCATAGGAAAAAGCTCTTTCTGGGATGCTGGTGGAGAAGAAAGCAGCTGGATGCTTTCTCTGCTTCTCTGAGCTAGCAGCCTTTCATCCCAGCATCTGGCTCCCAAGTCTTTATTGGTAAAATCAAATGATTGAGATTTAGTTAAAAAACAACACTAGAGATTTTGTTAAAAACAAGTTCATCTGCCCAGCAACTATCTGTTCTATCCTGGGCTGATATGATTCTTGTTATTGTGGTAAGAATTAGTGTTTCAAAATATCTGTTCTAATCCTTGAAATTTTTGCATTTAAAAATACCATTTTCTGGAAGTAGAGCTTAGTGTAAAACCATTTTCTGGCTATGTGAAGTTGTAAGATCAGTTCCAAGAAGTACTATATAAAGAGAACCATTCCTCAACATCACTGAAACATTTCCATAGTTTGCTATAATATATATGTTCCCACTGCAATGATATACTCTTATGATTGCAATACTCTTCATCCCCAACATTGATTTTTTTTTCAGTTGTAATGTGTTTCTTTCAGTAAACACCAGGTACTCACTGTGATTTGCCATTGTATACTATAGGAAATGTTTGGTATTTGTTTTTTTGTTTTTGTTTTTTTTTTTTTATTAGAGTCAGGAGTCAAGGGTCAGGGGTCAAGGGTCAGAAGTTACAGTTAGGATTAGAGGTTAGAGTTAGGGGTTAAGGTTAGGATTAGACAGGGTTAGATGTTAGGGGTTAGGCTTAAGGGTTAGGGTTTGGGGTTAGGATTAGGGATTAGGGTTAGGGGTTAGGATTAGGTGTTAGGGTTAAGCTTAGGGGGTAGGGTTAGTGTTAGAGGTTAGGATTAGTGTTTGGGTTAGAGGTTTAGAGTTAGGGTTTAGGTTTAGGTGTTTAAGCTTAAGTTATGGTTAGGGTTCAGGTTAGAGAGTTAATGTCAGGGGTTTAGGTTTATGGCTAGGGTCATATTAGATGGTTTGGGTTTGTGGGTAGGGTTATATTTAGATGTTTTTAACTGAAAGTGAAAAAATGCTTTTCCTCCTTTTTATCATCCCTCCTTCCTTTCCAAGGTGCTCTCCTCTCTTGTATCCCTTCTTTTTTCCCCACTCCCCAGTTGACTGCTTCTTTTTTTTTGATAATTATTGCTGCATACATACACGTATGTATGTATGCATGAATTTTTTTTCAGGCAGAAATGTGCTCTCCATAGCCCTGAATCATGTGTTAAGAAGGTCCCAGTTCAGGACTGGGGATTTAGCTTAGTGCTAGAGCGCTTGCCTAGCAAGCACAAGGCCCTGGGTTTGGTCCTCAGCTCGGGGGTGGGGGGGTGTGGGGGGGGGAAGAAGGTCCCAGTTCAGGATTGGGTATGGTGGTACACAACTTTGATCCTAGCATTCAGGAGGCAAAGGCAGGAGGAATTCTGAGTTCAAGGACAGCCTGATCAACAGTGCTAGTTCCAGGACAGCTAGAGATACACAAAGAAATTGAATCTCAACAAACGAAAACCAACAAAAGGAAGGTCCCAATTGAAAGGATAGAATCTAAAAATGGTGTTTTGGCGACCTCTTTTGGAAAATCAGTTTTTATGCATTTTTATGGGGAAACAAAATGGTTCATAGAGGGCTGGACATGCTATCTACCTTCTGTCCTTTTTGTCAAATGCCACTGTTCAATTTTTTTTTTTTTTAAAAAAAGACAATCTTATACTGGTTCCTAGATGTATACTAACCAATACCATAGCACCACTACCTCCACTTGCCTCTCTCTCTTGTCATTTGGAGTAAGAAGACCACAATAAAAACAAAGAAAATGGTATGGGCATGCAGCCATAGTTACATCTGGAGGGAGCCCAGAGTTACAGGACTGTTCCTTTGTTTGTTTGTTTGTTTTTATCTAAATAGATGGTGTAACCCTGAAAGTCATTTTGTTTTGGCAGGTGCAGTCAAAGAGGCTACAGAAAAACTGAAGTGTAGAGGAACAGCTCAGGGTAGTAGAGAGCAGTGTGGGATGGATGCTGGAAAGATATTTCAGCAGTTGAAAGCACTTGTTCTTCCAGAGAATCTGGGTTTGGTTTTCAGTACACACCAAAGGCTAACAATTACCTGTACTTGTAATTCTGTCCCAGGAGAGGCAATGCTGTCTTCTGGACTCTGCCCACACCTGGCAAGCATGTGATGCACACACATACAAGCAGACAAAACACACAGAGACATAAAATAATAAAATGGGGGGAGGGAGAAAAAGAGCATTCCTTAGACAGAAAACCTGGGATTCCTCTATACTCAACTAGAGCCACAAAATGTCAGAATCATGCAGCTAATCAGAATTACCTGCAACTGGATATCACAGAAATGGCCTCAATTGCATGGAAAGAATTGCTTGATGGGAAATGGTAGGCAAAGTTGCTCACCATAACCATAAGAAGACGCTTTCCAAATTGATACTCAGGAACAGCAAAGTTTGGAACAAGCTGATTCTCTCTTAACGTTATCTCTTTCAGTTTTGAATTGTAGTGGTATATATTTATATATATATAGCTTAGTTGGAAGTTTTGTTTTACAAACAACACTGGTCTTAAAGGCAGGGAACTGATAGGATGTTAAAAATAAAAGGATGTTGTAAAACAGCAATAGAGTTTAAGACTACAGTTGTATTTTTAAGCAAAATAGATGTAGACTTTCTAGCCTACTTTTTTATTTGTTTAAATAATAGTACAGAATCAGCCACTTTGGCTTCTAAAAGATCCTATGTAAAACTTAGTTTTATTCCCCCCACTACCCCCAGCCTTCTTGGGGTTTTTCTCAGACAGGGTTTCTTTATATAGCCTTGACTGTCCTAGAACTAACTCTATATATCAGGTTGGGCTGCAAGTCAGAGATCTGCCTGCTGGGGTTAAAAGGCATGTGCCACCATCCCCTGGCTATATTTTTATATTAATATTTTAATCGCTTCTGCTCTTATCTGTCTAGTTGCTTGGGTTTCTGAGTTTCTCATGAATGTTCTCTTGGCATGATAAAGTTTAATCTTATACTTTGCATGCAGAAGGGACACACACACTATAATATCTGCAATGACATGTTCATCTTGGTTGCCAAGTACTGAAAATCATATTTTGGAACAGAAGGTTTCTTTCATGTGTATTTAGCCTGGAGCTATTTATATAAACCAGGATGTTTTACTCCCTGATATCTGCCTGCCTCTGCCCTCCTCCTTGAGTTCTCCAGCTAATAGTGGGCACCACCAAGGCAGGCAGTTTCTTCTTGGTGTCCTACAACCACAAACAATCACATTACTATTGGCTCATTATAAAATATATCATTCGTTTATGGGATTCAGGATAATGACTGAATTTCTACCATGACATCTGACAAGGCTTGTAGAGTAAGAACTTTTAGTTGGGTATTTGGAGAACAGTGTCTTAGTGTCCCAGAAGACACTGGCCTGAGTTTTCCAATGATAGTCAGTGACCTGGGTTCCCTAGCATTATCATGGCTCTGAAAGACCTTTGAACTTTTGCCAGGTAGAGGGGTGAGCATGAATCTCACCAGAGAACAAGTGTGCCTTTCGGTTATGACTAAAGTTGGGTTCCTTTTTGAGAGAGGAAATATGCTTGTGGACCAAGGCAATTATAGAAGACACTGTTCAGATGCACTAAATTCTTACTTCCACAAGGTGGCACCCCACACCTGGTATGCACATCATCACATGACCACCTTTGGCCAGAAGAGAGCACAACAACACCCTCCTTCTGTATGTATATATATTTCCCTTCCCCCAACCAATAGCTTAGGAACCTATTGGAAAATGAAATAATACTGGTCTAAAAGAAAAAAAAAAAAGAAACATATTGATAAAATGACTCCTAATGATATTTTGATATACTCATAGATCAATTCTCTCATCAGCCACCATCAGAGAAGCTTCTTCCTGTAACAGAAGAGAACAAATACAGAGACCCACAAACAGACATTGCACAAAGAGTGAGAGCCCTTGGAACACTCAGCCCCCAAAATGGGATATTTCCATGAAATCCATGCCCTCAGAGCTCAGGGAACCCCATGGAAGAGGAGTCTGAAAATAGTTTATGAACCTGAGAGAATGGTGGACACCAAGAAAACAAGGCCTGCTAAATAAACATAGCAAAGCTTTTATGGATTCACAGAGATTTAAGCAGCATGGACTGGACCTATATGGGTCTGCACTAGGTCCTCCAAGTATATATTATGGGTTCCAGTTTAGTATTCTTATGGGATTCCAGAGTGTGTGAACAAGTGGGTCTCTAATTCTTGTGCCTTCCAATGGGATCTTCTCTGATAACAGCCACGGTGCAGATGATGCTACATCCAGAACAGCTTCAAAGCAACTAGCTGAGATGATGCAGCCTCACAGACTACTACAGCCAAGATTTAACCATAATTGTAAATTTTCTCAGGATCCCCATAAGATTGTCAGCACCTCCAATCAGCAGGAAGTAGTATGAAAAGCTATACCCAAATTCCCAAAATATTGTTTATGTTTGTTTTATTTAAAGGGTATTGATTATAAATGCAATCTTTTTCTAAAGAAAAAAGGGGGATATGATATAGAAATGATAGAAAGGGATAGATTATTGAGTCTACTTTGATACAAAAAATAACTGTTAATCTCAAAATACTTAACATTGGTATGGATTTTGGTTTATTGATACAAACATAAAGTTAATGTTGTTATACTGTATGTGTATTTCTACTCTTGTTTAAGGTATTATATTTATGCAACTCATTTAAAATTGTAATATATTGCTGTGGGACGGTCTGTATGTCAAATTGCTCTGATTG